ATAAACTTCAATTTCTTTGTGGATCATGTCGTGGAATAATGTTACCATGGCTCTTTGATAGGTAGCCCCTGCGTTAACAGAATGTTCCCCACGGTGTGATGAAAGAAGTTTTTTCTCTATCTTCGACGGCTAGCTTAATCTGATTATACCCTGCATATCCATCCATGAAGGAATAAAGTGTGTTTGTGGCGGTGTGATCCACCAACATGTCAATGTGTGGTAGGGGAAAATCGTCCTTTGGACTTGCTCAGTTAAGATCCCTGTAATCTACACATATTCTTATTTTCCCATTCTTTTTCATGACTGGCACAATATTTGCCAGCCATTCAGGGTATTTGGACACGATCAAGAAATTAGCATCTAGCTGTTTCTGTACTTCCTCCTTAATTTTCAAGGACCAATCGAGTTTCATCCTTCTTTGCTTTTGCTTTATTGGCCGGAAACCTTCTTTTAATGGTAGTTTATGCTCCACTATGCTTTCGTCGAGTCCAGGCATGTCATGGTAAGACCAAGCGAATATGTCCGCGTATTCTTTCAATAACTGAATTAACCCTTCCCTAATGTCACTATCGATTTGGGTGCCGATACTCACTTCCTTCTTATCGTCCTTTTGTCCCAAATTGACCATCTCTGTCTCTTCCTGATAAGGCTGTATGGAGCGAGATTCTCTTTCCAACAATCTTTGCATGTCCAGAGAAATGGTCTCCTGCTCACTGTCGGATTCGACCCATTCGCCTTTGGTTTTCGGATCCCACAGAGATTCATCAATCACAAACATGATCGTTTTAAGGGTTCTGTTTTAGGTATAGATTTTATTATTCAGTTATTTTGAAAGAATAATAAATAGAAGAGGGAAAAGAATAAATGTGAATGTGAATGAAAAATGCCTCATGTATTAAAATAAAGAAAGGGGTACAAAAATGTCCTTTTAGTCGGTGATCTCACGGCCACGGGCTGGGACCGCAAGAAATACAAAGAAAGCTTTTAAAGAAAAAGACATAACCCTAACAGCTGATCCTTCCTATCCAACCCTATCACTTTAGTTGCGACAGAGGCTTGACTTCTATGTTGGGGGCTGGAGCATCAAAGGTGACCCATCCGGCATCTATTAAATCTTGAACCTTATATTTTAAGGCCCGACAATTCTCTACTGAATGCCCGGGAGCGCCTGAGTGGTAAGCGCATTTCTCATTGGGCTCATACCACTCAGGGTAAGGTGGGTCCACCTTTCTTGGCGGGATGTATGCCAGGAGCTTGGCCTCCACCAGTTTGGACAGTAAATTCTCATAAGAAATTGGAATGGGAGAGAACTTTTTCTCTTGCCTCTGGGATTGTCTGGCTGTCTTCAAGGAAGAAGAAGGAGAGTCGAGGTTGATAGCGTTTACGCTCCCTTCTTTCTTCCTGTCCAAAGTTTTCTTGAATGACGCATTAGAGGAGGAAGGTTGCACTATCCTTCCACTCTTTAATCCCTGTTCCACCCTTTCGCCTATGGTGACCACGTCTGCGAAGAGGGTTGACGTGTTCCTTATCATTTTGTCGTAATAGGGTCCAGTCAACGAGTTGATGAACATAGACACGGTCTCCTTGTCTGATAGCGGAGGCTCCACTTGGGCTGCCAAGTCCCTCCATCGTTGGGCATACGCTTTAAAGGATTCTTCGCCTCTCTTGCTCAGTGCTTGGAGATCTGACCTATCGGGGGTCAGATCGATGTTGTACTTATAGCGGCAAAGAAAGGCGTCTGCCAGCTGCTTCCAGTTCTGAACTCGCCCCTTCTCTAACTACATGTACCAATTCAGAGTTGAATCGGCCAAGCTCTCCTGAAAGCAGTGTATTAGGAGTTCTTCGTTGTCAGCGTGGGGAGCCATCTTGCCATCTTGCGGCAGTACATAGTGAGATGACTCCTGGGGCAAGTCATTCCCATGTACTTTGGGAAGTCTGGAACCTTGAATTTTGGAGGGAAACAGATATTCTCAACAAGGCACATATCAGCAACCTCCTTCACATCAAAGCTATGCCCCTCTATAGCCCTAAGCCTCTCTTCTAGAGCGGAGATTTGTTGCTTGGAGACTTCAGGGGGCTGGATGAGCACCTCCCTTGCTTCAGAATGCTCATGGGCCTCTTCTTCTTCTTTCTCCTCATGGTGAGATGCGCGGTCACCATGAGTGTCGCCCTTATGGAGGCTCTGCTGGCGCATTAACTCCATCAACTGCGCCATTTGTTCCTTCATAACGTTAAGCTCAGCGGTGAGCTTACGGTTCTACTCTTCTAGTTGCTCCATTGCTTTAGCCTTTTGTGCACGGGTTCGGATCACAGAAAGACCAGCCACTTTCTAGAATGCACATGAATTAGAGTTTTTATGAATGATTGGTGTGGGATAGATATGTCTCCTAGAATGAATGTATTTATGCATGCATCAGTTCAAAAGGGCGACAAATGGCATAACTTTTGACTGGGATGTCCGATTTGGACGTACGAAGAGAAAAGGGTGAAGATCAAGGCTGCAAATTCCCGAAGGGGATTTGGCCCGGTAATTTTCCCAAAAAACGCTTCTAAGACCCACTTTTCAAGGGTTTATTAAAATGATACGTATGCAGACTCTCCTTATGCATTTATTTTCTCTTTTGGTTTTTCCGCTTATAACATGATGCGATATGAATGAGACAACTTTGTCAAAATTCTTTTTATAAATGTTTTGATTTTATTATTATTTTTTTTTTTTTTTAACTCTTTATCTCTTCTGTCGGACTGCGTGGCTACTTAGCTTACAAAGAACCTGAAACCAGGCTAGCTAAGAGGCAGACTATCCGAGATAAAAGTGGTTTATTGTGAAAATATTTTTTTTTTGGGAGATTTTGTTTTATATTTTTTTATTTGTTGTTGTATGATTATGTTATGCGACAAATAAATGCAACAAACGAATGCACAAACAATTCACTCATCCGCGAACAGAGTGGCGTTTTAATTACGAGGTAGGGGTTTCCTGCAGAAAAGTGCATAGGCAAAGGTAGGTTCTAACTGTTCCCACCAAGGCCAGGCCCCCAAGGTGCCCCCATTATAGGGACCCTTCAATTTCCCAGTCTTCGAACCATGCACGGATGTCCGTGTCGATGTTCTTAAACCAAGAAAAAGAAAGTTATCACCTTGAGTGGTGGTTTCCGACAACGACCTGCTGGCACTATGGCACATACCACGGTCGGCCGTACCTGCCACCCACTCCCTATGTGTATTCTCTCTTGCCCCCAGGTATAGAGCGACTGTAGTGTGCAAAGGTTGTGTACAGTTTTATTTCAGACAATTGTAGAAAATAATCATACAACAATTATTAAAGTCAAACAATAAAGCATCTTATAAAAGCAAGAAAGGGTAAAAGTGTAATTTCTAGTTTTCATTTCCTAAACTAGTCCATCACTAAATGGGATCAACTCTCTAGCTTCCCCAGTGGAGTCGCCATCTGTCGCCGCCGTCAGAAGAGGCGGTCGGAGCGACGCGACGGTTTTTAATTGACTCGTGTTTTTCTTTGAAAGAAACAGTCCAACGCCTTTAGGCCGTCCGATAACCGAACTAGACCTAAGGACGAGGTTTTCGAATAGGTTCGAGGAGTCGCCACCAGTGTTTTAACCTTAAACACTGAAAAAGGTAAAAAGGAAAAGGCAGTGGTTTTTATAAAAAACCAACTTTGGCCATTACAACCAGAGTCGGGTAAGGGAGTTAGTTACGTGCGGGGAAGGTGTTAGCACCCCCACAACTCCCCTTTCGGGTTCCCTATGATGGACTAATTTAGAAAATACATACTTAAGTAAATTACATTTTTACCCTATTATTTTATTTACTTGCAGAATTTAAATATCTACATGGTTCTACTATCTAATGCACGTAAAGAAAGCGATAAAGAAAGCAGTAAAAGAGACAAAGAATAGAGAAGAAACCTCCGAAGCGAGCTTTATATTAACTCTTCTAAAACGTGAGGATGCTTTTTGGCAGTCCCCGCACTCTACAAGTATACTCCTCTCCGCAAAACAAAGAAAAGGTCACTCAACCGAGGGTCGGATGCCTCAAAAAGAGACTTCCTTAACCGATTTCAACCTTAACGGAAATCGGAAAGCTCCCTCGAACCCCGGAATAATGCTCAGGGTCACTCTCAAGTGCCAAGAGGCTTCCCCGAGAGTGGAGGAGTGGAAAAGGTGTGAAAATTTGGAGGAATGAGGTCCCTTTTTATAGGGATGCGGGCCAGGAAAGGCGGACGGCCGTCTGGACAAAGCGGATGGCCGTCCAGGGCAAAAAGTGGCCATGGACGGCCGTCTATGTAGTGTGGACGGCCGTCCATGACCTTAAAGTGCCATGGACGGCCGTCTGCTTGCCATGACGGCCGTCTGCCTGCTCTGGACGGCCATCCGCCTGTTTTGGACGGCCATCTGCTATCTCCGGCAGTTTTCCCGATTTTTAATGCCTCTAAAAACCTTTCTTATCCTAAATGGAACCTATAACAAGCTGCTAGGGACTTGATAGAGTCTTAACCATCTTCGGAATGAGCGATCTTCGGCTTTATTAGAAGTCCGGGCAAGATTTGGGGTCTACACTTCCTATTTTTAAATAGGATAGGCTCTAACAATAGAAACATTAAGTTCTTATTTAAGATTAGTATCACATGAGAGCCTATATAATAAACATACTAAAATAAGAAGAGATTATGTTGATAAGCTTCACCTTGAAACTAATTGAAATAAGCTGAAGGAGCTTATTGGAAAGTCATAAGTCACTTTAAAATTAGCTCTTTATAAGCTCATCTAAACACCTCATATATTCAAAATGAGAAGAAACTGAGGAATTAAACACCATCGACTCCATGTCAGCACTGGAATTGCTGAAAATTTAGCAGTCATTGTCAATTAAATTTTCCTATCACAATTGTCATAACATTAAACTTACATGCTTTCAATCTTTTAACTGTTTACAATTATTGGTAGCACATTTTAACTTCACAACAATGCCAACCAATAAGACTAAATATCAATCTGCAAATCAGAAAAGCTATCCTTCATAATAGATTATTAGCTTAAGCAACCAAATGTACAATCAAACGAACTCATGACATAAGCTACACAGCACAACTTGTACAATCTAAAGTTAAATACCTACGTGGGTAAGAGAAAAAAGAAACATCAGCACATCCTATTTCCTTACCGATTCACCACTCAGATTCATGTAAGTCTGAGGCTTTGCAAGGAAAACAGGAATTTCACCAACAAAACCTGTAACAAAACAACTTTCATGAAAAAAATCATGAATTGCAACAAACATCAAGTGAAAAATAGAAAATAGAAATATCAAAGCAAGGCAGAAGGCAAACCTTTTCCAAAAATGGCTTTGGAATGGGCGGTGTTCATAGGAATCCCCTGCGACTCAGCAAATGCATCAATCATCTCAAAGCCCACCTGATTTAGACAAAAACATATATTCGAAATTCATAAAAAAGATGTTAAATCGGATACCGATTTTGCCCCCGTAACACTGCATAACACTTCATATACAATTTAACCATTGATAACTAAAACTTGCAACTACCAAAAGAAACACCAAACTGACTGTAGAAGCAGAAGCAGAAAACAAAAAAAGCAAGGGAAGAGTTACATTGTGGCGAGTTCCTTTGTATTTGTCGCCAGGATTGCCCAACCCCACAAAAAGCCAAGGACGTGGTGCAAAGGTGCAGAAGCAACGCCTGCTTAACCTATTAAGCATTTCCTCTGCAGAAAAAATTCAAAATAAGTTTCACTTTCATCTATACGATCCTGTTGTGAACGGAGAAAAACAACGAAACGATGAAGCCGAACACGCATTGGTAATTAATTACCTGTCTTAGCTATCACCGTTGTCTCTCTCCATCTTTGCAATCACTGATCACTGACCAATACTGCACTGAAGATACTCACCATTCCATTTGCCAACGACTGGAAAAAATGAAATCGCGATCTCAATGTGAACGGGTGTTGGGTTATTCTCGTCAATACCAATAGACTGGTAGAAGTAGAACTCTAATTTTCAATCACTCAACATTTCTTCAATTATTAACTTCTCGTCAACTTCGCTATAGTATGTGGACGCTACAAAATCTACTTAGCATCCAACATCCCAAAGAAACTCGGGCATTGAGTCACTGACTCAACTCAACAAAAGTTACAGAAACCAACACCGCGTCTAGACAAGAAGGAAATTGATCATAACCCAGCTCCACATATTCAAGGAAACCCAAGACTGAAAATGAGAAAAAATAAAATTCCAACACCCTCACCCGACCAAATAAGCCGTAAGTCCTTCACATTTTCCCATCGAAAGAAAACTCCACTTGGAGAGAGTAAGATAGAGGGGAACGAAGTTTACTCCGAAATTGGAACATGAAATCTCACATACATATATTCTAGATTCAATGAGATAGGGCAAAAAACAGAGAGGACAGAGAAGAGAAAAAAAAGGGAAAGATCCCGTACCTTGAACTGTGACGGAAAACGGCGGCGAGCAAACCGCGGTGACTGCGTCGAGAAAACGGCGGCAACGACGCTCGTTGATGGAAGAAAGTAGATCGTGATGGAATATCACGCTTTTGAATGTATAAAGCAAAAGGCGTATTAATAATAAAGTTCTTTACCAAAAAGTTAATGAAAAATTAAAAATGGAATAAAATATCATATACTTTAAATCTGTCACGGAAAGGAAATGTAATATTTGTAATAAATAAAAGCAAAATAATGTATTAATTTAATAAAAAAAACATATAACCCTAAATAAAGAAGGGAAAAAAAAAATTTGAGCCCAAAACCATAATTATTTTATAGAACCATTATTACGCTTGTCAAAAAGACTGCAACTTGCAATATTGGACTACAACTATCATGCTTCTTTTTTTAACTTTAGTTTCTCTTCAAACATTGAGATGACAATCATACAAATTCTTCAGCAGCAAAATATAACTGTAATATTAATTTTAAACAAATTAGTTTACCTAAATTAATCAAATAATAAAAGTTAGTAAATCATTTTTAATATTTATAAAAAGCTAATTTTAGATAAAAAAAGTAATTAATTAATTAATTATCAATATTATAATTATTAGTAAATATAAATATTAGAGTTTTTGTGTGTTTATATATTTTATATTATTAATCTATTTTAACATATATATTTTAAATTTTCTTCTCTATTCTTATTGTATATTTTTGTTCATTTATTATATTGTATTATATTTTTTCCTTATTATAATAATATTTTTTATCTTTTAAATTATGTGTTTTATTTTTCTTCATTGTGTCAAGGATTTTATTTTTACAATAAATTTATATTTTTATTGAATTCAACTTTCTATGTATTTTTGGAACAAAATAAATTCTTCTTAAAATAATATATTATTATAATTATTATTTATTTGTTTGTTGAGGGGTTTTGGATTCTTGTTCTAAATAACTTTTTAAAATTTAGGTAATTTCGAAATGTATGTCCTCAAGACATTAACAATATGTTTACTAGAAAAAATAGCATTTTCTCACTTTCTCAAAGGCTTGCAACTTGAAAGCAAAAAGCCTCTATTTTTCAATATTTTCTATATACAAGAATAATGAAACAATTATCTGAATAAACTTATATTATATTTTCAGCATACACTTAAACAAATGCAAAACGTCAATTTTAGTCCATAAGAACTCTATCTGTTTTTTTAGTAATAAAATTTTGTATAATTAATGACAATATCTATAAAACTTGTGGGTTTTGTGTTGAAGTCCTTCAGTTTGTAAGAATTGCTCATGCATTAGAAGTTAACAATTTTGTTAAAATAAATTGTTAAATCTTATCATGAGAAGTTAGCAGTTTTATTATGCTAGATTAAATAAAATCTTAAAAGTTTAACTTTATTTAATTATGGTCATTTATTTAAATTAAGATTGATTGATATAACAAAATAGATATTCAAAAAATATAAATCCAAGAAAGAAAGCAAACTCAGAAGTGAGTTAAGAGACATTAGAACGAAGACTGATTAAGAGATATTAAGATGAAGACCGAAACATTATTCTCATCAATGATTTTAGATTTGTGTGTGACATTCAATAAATCTTTAACTTACTTTTTATTAAAATAATTATATAAAAATATTATTATTATATTTTTAAAATATAAAATTACATGGTTTCCCTTTAATATATTATGATTAAATGATTATATTTTGTTTCTTTTATTTTTATTATTAATTTCATAGAAATAATTATCGTAGTTAATTTACTGATGATTCTTCATAATATAAAGATTATAAAAAAAACAAATACTTAAATCCACATAAATAAGCGTAAAATAAGGTCAAAGGAATCTTTATAAATAAAGATTTATATTATAATATCATAATAGTTTTTCATATTATATATTATAATAGTTTTTCATATTATATGTTACATTGTAAATTGAATACGAAATTTTGTATGAAATTTTTGCCAATTATTTGAAATTTGTTCAATTTTTTATATTTTATATTTTTCATAATATATATACTTTTATCAAATCACGTCATAATAAGATCACTTATATAATCAAAGTCATGATCTCAATACCTACAAACTGAAAATGACAAGATTAAATCTAAATTTTTTCTTAGTGATATTTTTTTTATTTGAGTATAATAATCCAATGACTTTAACAATTATTTGATCAAGTTGTAAAAATAGTACTCTAAATACAATGTTCGAGTTAATACGAATAGATTGTCAAAACATTTTGATTTGATCAACTTTCTTTTGAATTATGGAAACATATTTTGTTTTTTTATGTTTTTAAACTAGTGTCTCTTACGTGTGTAATTTGACAAAATTTGTAATGTTTAATTAGATCAATCAAGCCTATCTATCTATTTACGAATTAAAACTTTAACACCATTATCCAATATTATTGTATGAAAAATGATAATGGAGGACTTATAAACTTTCCTTCTTTATCTCCATTCTAATATAAATGATAAAAATCATGAGTTCTTTTTTACCTACAAACAATATTACATGGTTTCATGCATAACTTCATCAAATAATAGTTTTGAAGGGACATGTGGTTGCCTTACCATAAGTATCACTTGTGCCCAAGTCAATTTTTATACCTTTGACTTTCACCATAAGTATCATAATGTTTACAACGTGTATATATATATAATAATAATAATTATGTGTTAATATATAAATGATATTGTTTTGATATTTAGTTTGAAAAAAAAAATTATGGGAAGGTGAATAAAAAGTTATGATATTAATATTATCACATTAAAATTGAAAATAATTTCATATAATTCTGAGAAAATTCAAAATTTTTAAAAATTTTTATTATATGTTTTATTATATTAAAAAAAATCTATCTATACACTAAATTATTGTAAGTATATATTATAATAACATTTTCCATTAAATGCCTAATTATTTTTTACTGATTTTACTCTCAATTCTTGTTATAGGAAAGAGATATGAATATTTGTTTTAGATTTTAATTTATTCATATTTATGATATTTCAATTAATTTAATTTTAAAATAAAAAATTAATTATATTATTTTTTGTAAATCATATATTAATATACATATTTGGTATATTATTCAATTCAGTTAATGCAATATGGTAATATTGATTTTCAAGATCATTGTTTAAAGAGATAAAAGCAAAATAGATTTTGAAAAATGATGGAAAAACAAGGGGTTCATGTGTAGGTGGAAGAGAATACACTACAAATTATTGTTTAAATGTATGGAATCAAGGAAAGTGAGAGATTGGTCTAAAATGAAAGGATTACTGTGGTTTATACACATCTGCATATATGCAAAAGAATGATATTAAAAAAAAAAACATTTATTTAAAACAAAGACAGTTATGCATAAAATAATATAATAAGAAAATAAAATTAGTAAAAAAAAAAAGTAAAGAAAAGTATCCTACACACAACATAAAAAACCAATAAAAATAATATCATATCTTTTAAACAAGTAGAATAAGATATCAACCCTTAATTAATTAAAATTGATATAAATTTTATGATATGGTTTTATTTGATGGCTTTATACGTTATTTCTAATTACTCATTTGTATATATTTTTTAATAAATATCCAATTTTTGTTTAAAAAAGAAGATTGAATGCTTATTTTGAATAAAAAGATAACTAACAGAGTAGTTATTAGTTTATATTTTAATTAATTAATTACTTATTCTTATAAAGATCATATAGAAAATATAATGAAATAATAAATTATATAATGACATGATATAAATAAAAATAATTAACGTATATTTTTAAAAAAATTAAGTATATATCTATATATATTTATTTATTTTGGTTGTCTACCCATATGTATTTTAGTGTGTTTATTATCCATAAAACAATATATTAAATATAAATTATAAACTATTAAAATAAAGATGTTTATTTGAAATTGATTACACTCATTATATTTTTTTCAAGTAGTTCATATTAAAATTATAACTTAAAATAATTTATCAAATTCATAAGAATTAAATTTTGATAAAAAAGGAGGACTATAAAATTTTAAAATTAAACATTATAAATTTTTTAAAATTAGAACTGATAATAATTTTATTAAGCATAATCTCTTTTAATAAAACTAAACTTTTACTGTGTATGTAATTTATATTTTTATTCAATAAATTGCTCTTTCTTATATTTTTGTAACCAACAAAGTACTAATTAATCAATATAAATGTTTTTTTTAAAATATAGTATAATTTAATTTAAATGATAATTATATTTTATAATATAAAATATTTTTTTTATCATCAATTGTAAAAATCAGATTGAATTAGTTGTGGATTGAGAATGAATGTGCATTAATTTTTAGTTTTGTTGTAGAGTTGTTTTCTAGTTACTGACATTTTTTTTTTGAAAAATGTAAAAATTTGATAAGTGTTATAAATTTATTATTTATAATATTTTATTTTATTATAAAGTATATTTTATTAATAATCTGTTTTTAACTTTAGATTTTTATATGATAAAAACATGACGGAAGATAATTCATGGGGTTGTATTATTCAATCAGTCTTATACACATATATGATAAAATTGTTTTTATATTTCTTAATTACCAATTTTAAATTCATGATAAAGTATCATAATTTTCATAAACACAACTATATATAATAAATTAAATTTTAAGTACGGAGGAGAAAAAAAAAACATAGGCTAATGATGATTCATGACCTAGAAAACAAAACACAGCTAATAAAAATCATGTGGTTGCCCTAATTAGCCCCACTCTAGTGCAAGGTAACTTAACCCCTTTTTCCCACTTATATTATCCCAATGAGCCATATAAGTTACACAACATAACACTTCTTACCACCAAAACCCGCAACCATATATATAAAAAGACACACAAACTCACACACCCCGAGAGAGAAGAGAGTGACGACCAGTCTCTCATCATCAATCAAAAACCCTAACCGCGCGAGTTCGTCGCCTCTCAATCTTTATTTTCTTGTCCACGCCGCCATGGATCCCAAGATGCAGCAATCGCAGGTGACCGTCATCCTGGGTGCCGATCCAGCACCTTTAGAGACTCTGATCTCCCACCTGATGTCTTCTTCCAATGAGCAGCGCTCCCATGCCGAGGCGCTCTTCAATCTCTGCAAACAAACCGATCCTGATAATCTCACCTTGAAGCTCGCACACCTCCTCCATTCATCACCGCAGCAGGAGGCGCGTGCCATGTCCGCCATCCTCCTCCGGAAGCAGCTCACGCGCGATGACTCTTACCTCTGGCCTCGTCTTTCTCCACATACGCAGTCCTCCCTCAAATCGCTTCTCCTCTCCTCGATTCAAACCGAGAACGCCAAATCCATCTCTAAGAAACTCTGCGATACCATCTCCGAACTCGCCTCCAGTATTTTACCAGATAACGCCTGGCCGGAACTCCTCCCTTTCATGTTCCAGTGTGTGTCTTCCGATTCCCCTAAGCTTCAAGAATCCGCTTTTTTAATCTTTGCGCAGCTATCGCAGTGCATCGGGGATTCCCTCACCCCTCACATCAAGCACCTCCACGACATCTTCCTACAGTGCCTCACTAATCCCTCCGTTAACCCTGACGTCCGAATTGCTGCCCTTAATGCGGTTATCAATTTCATCCAGTGTCTCTCAGGTTCCGCCGAACGCGACCGCTTCCAGGACCTGTTGCCTGCGATGATGCGGACTTTGACTGAGGCACTTAATTCAGGCCAGGAGGTCACCGCACAAGAGGCGCTCGAGCTTCTCATTGAGCTTGCCGGCACTGAACCTAGGTTTTTGCGGCGACAGCTTGTGGATGTTGTTGGGGCCATGTTGCAGATAGCCGAGGCTGAGTCCCTAGAGGAAGGTACTCGACATTTGGCGATTGAGTTTGTGATTACTCTCGCGGAGGCAAGGGAGCGTGCCCCTGGTATGATGAGGAAGTTGCCCCAGTTTATTAGTAGGTTGTTTGCAATACTCATGAAGATGCTTCTTGATATCGAGGATGATCCTGCCTGGCACAGTGCTGAGACAGAGAACGAGGATGCTGGTGAAACCAGTAATTACAGTGTGGGGCAAGAGTGCTTGGATAGGCTCTCTATATCTTTGGGTGGAAACACCATTGTTCCTGTTGCTTCTGAACAGTTGCCTGTTTACTTGGCTGCACCGGAATGGCAAAAACGCCATGCTGCACTTATTGCACTTGCTCAGATAGCCGAAGGCTGCTCAAAGGTATTGATTGGATATGTCTACTCTATTGCAATCATTACATTTCTCTTTGTTAAATTGTGATGAATTATTTATTGTTGTGAAATAAGTTTTGTGTTCGTGTGGGTGTGTGTGACTTGTGATGACTACAGGTCATGATAAAAAATTTGGAGCAAGTAGTGGCCATGGTATTGAACTCCTTCCCTGACCAACACCCCCGTGTTAGGTGGGCAGCTATTAATGCAATTGGGCAACTATCTACTGATTTGGGTCCGGATTTGCAAGTTAAATATCATCAAGGAGTGTTGCCAGCGTTAGCTGGTGCAATGGATGATTTTCAGAATCCTCGTGTACAGGTTAGCTTGATTTTTATTGAATTTATTTTCTTTATTATTGAGTATAAATTTTTGCTCAATGAGTTAGAAATGAAAATTTTGTGATTCTGTCAATGGGCTTTGTATATCATTAAACATTGATAGTTTAGAATATAAAATGTAAGCATTATTTGCAATTTTACTTTAAACGAGTTAGTTTATACATATATGAATCATTGAGATGTACAGCAATTTTATGAAATGTGTATCGTATGTTTCTTACTCTTGTCATTATGATTTATAAGAGAATCTTATTTAATTAAATAAGCTTTTTAGTATCATCATTCTCAAAATATTATGTATACAGGCACATGCTGCTTCAGCCGTTCTCAACTTCAGCGAGAACTGCACACCTGATATCTTAACGCCATACTTAGATGGCATAGTTAGCAAACTACTCGTACTTCTTCAGGTATATTAATATTATTATGGCCATTTTGCCAAATTGTCATTTAATTGACTTTTTTCTTTCTTAATTTTGGATATTCTATACATGTTTCAGAATGGTAAGCAGATGGTGCAAGAAGGTGCCTTAACTGCATTGGCATCAGTTGCTGATTCTTCTCAGGTATTTTGGGAACTTCTTTCTTCATTAAACATTTATAATTAATTTTTCTTTTGATTACTCATTTAATACTATGGTCTTTCTTAGGAACACTTCCAAAAATATTATGATGCTGTAATGCCATATCTGAAGGCTATATTGGTTAATGCAACGGATAAATCTAACCGAATGCTTCGAGCTAAGTCCATGGAGTGCATAAGTTTGGTTGGAATGGCGGTTGGGAAGGAGAAGTTTAGGGCAGATGCTAAGCAGGTAGGTGTTTCTTGCTACTTTATTTTTATGCTGTCAAACTTATTTTTAAGTATTGTTTACAAGAATGTATGGCTTGTTTTGTATATTCACTTTTTATACCACTTATTTGGAAAAATGATTGGTTTAGAATGGGGAAATAGGAAGTTAGCTGCCCCTGAAACTTCTTTAAGCACTTCTTTTGCTGTCTGGTCAGCCAGATCTCTTATGATTTTAATATTCTATGTATGCTGGTTCTTCACTAGGTTATGGAAGTTCTTATGTCCCTTCAAGGATCTCAAATGGAGACAGATGATCCTACGACAAGTTACATGCTACAAGTATGTTTTTATATTATTTATTTAGCATATGCATAATGTTCCCCTTGGACTGTGTTTAGTCTAATGACTTAACTCTGTTCCAGGCATGGGCTAGACTCTGCAAATGTCTAGGACAGGATTTTCTTCCCTACATGGAGTTTGTTATGCCTCCATTGCTTCAATCTGCTTCACTTAAGCCTGATGTAACCATTACATCAGCAGATTCAGGCAATGATATTGAGGATTCTGATGATGAAAGGTCGGTCTCAATTTTAGTCCTTCTCTGCTTAAAGTTTTAAACAATTCTGAAATTTATGAATGCATAATGTATTGCTTGTAGTGCACTTCTGCTGTCATTTTGGTTTTTATGTTCATTAATGGTTTAAGCCTTAAAAGTTAAGACACATTTATTGCTTTACTAATCTTTTGACTATGATCCCCCTCACCACCACAACCACAGCAAAAAACTAATATCTACATAATTGAAATGCACATTGTCATCAACAAAATCAGAACTGCACATCAATACATTTTTGTTTAAGGTGGATGATTCAATCAATGTTTTATTTATCCATTGTAGTATGGAAACTATTACTCTCGGGGACAAGCGAATTGGAATTAAGACTAGTGTTTTAGAAGAAAAAGCTACAGCGTGTAACATGCTTTGTTGCTATGCTGATGAACTGAAGGAAGGATTCTTTCCATGGATTGATCAGGTTAGACTGTTAGTATAGGTTTACTTTGAATCCCTTTATGCAATGAGGTTTCTTATAGTGTTTCATTGCATATTTTCCCATGTTATTAATTTGAACTCTATGCAGGTCGCTGCAACTTTAGTTCCACTCCTAAAATTTTATTTCCATGAGGAGGTTAGAAAAGCAGCAGTTTCAGGTATAAAAAAATATTGTTCCTGTCCATCATTTGTTTGTCAGTATTTTTTTCTACTCAGTAAAATTGCTTTATAATAATTACCAAAACTATTTTATTGCTTATCATTTCCAATTTCACTACAGCAATGCCAGAGCTATTGCGATCTGCAAAATTAGCTATAGAGAAGGGGCAATCTCAAGGTCGGGATTTATCCTATTTGAAATTTTTGACCGATAGTATAATCCCTGCTCTGGTGGAAGCATTGCACAAGGTAAATTGCCATCAAAGTGCTGTGCATTCTTAGATGTGATATCATGGAATCTCTATGTTCTGTTTTTAAAGTGATAGTTGTTGTGTTTTGATTTGAAATTATCTTGAAAATAATTTTTGTTTTAAAGCAATCCTCTGTGAGTGCGTGTAATTTTTTGATAGCTTATCTATCCCTTGACATTTCTATGCTAAGATTTTCCCATTTCTTTTTGTTTGCAGGAACCTGACACAGAGATTTGTGCAAGCATGTTGGATTCATTAAATGAATGCTTACAGGTTCGGATCCTTAGATAACATGTTCATATATGTTGCCTTTATTTGGATGAATAATTGCTATCTATTATATAGAGCCATGACTAATGAATATACCATGGCAAAGTTGATGTTATTAATTAAAATTTGATGTCTATCATTATTATTATTTGAAAATAAAAAGTCAACAAAGAGCCTCACTGACACTGCTATTATTTATTCTTGCAAACAATCCTATCCCTTCTAGGTTTTGTTGTCAATTGGCAAATAAAAACTAAATTTAACAGTTTGTTTATTCTTTTTTCATGTTTTGTTCACTCCCCAAATGTGTCATGATACATGCACTTCACATTTTACATAATGTAAATGTAAATTTTGTGATATTTGTCTCATAAAGTGAGACATGCCATGCAAATTTTGGCTTCTTTTTGAAGGTTGCCTAAGCTTATTTCTGCACAGCCTTTTCTGATACCGCAGTCTCACTATTTAACTAGACATTTTTTATCAGGCTAAGGTAATTCTTATTATGTAGTTTGAATCTTTTTGGCCCACTACTTACTTTTCTTCAATTTCACTAGGAAGTCCTATTAAGGAGAGCTGATCTAGGTTTTCACTATATACTAGAGGTAGAGCAAGACTGAGAAAAAATATAGGTGTAAACTTATTAAGTAAGACTGAGGTCAATGGTTTTTCTGTAAACATTAACAATAGAGTATTATGGTGTCATTAAATTCAACTTCAAGTAGCCAACCACACCTGTGGAGAGAAGACCAGATTGTTGTTTATTTTCTTCCAGTTTCATATGTATGGCATGGTTTTGTTTATTGTCCATGAGTGTTAAGTAGGTGTTTAGTCAGATTCTTGGGTAATGATTGATCCAGTTCTTGTTGTGTGTCTTTCTTGTTTATCTTTCTCTTCCTTCCTATAATGAATTGTAATCTGTTTTTGAATGTGTTCCAATGTTTTTATTTTCTCTTTTAGATCTCTGGGATGCTTTTGGATGAAAGTCAGGTCAGATCTGTTGTTGACGAGATTAAGCAGGTGATCACAGCTAGTTCAAGTAGAAAAAGTGAGAGAGCTGAGAGGACTCAAGCTGAAGATTTTGATGCTGAAGAGGGGGAACTTATTAAAGAAGAAAATGAACAAGAGGAGGAAGTTTTTGACCAAGTTAGTTTTTTAATTTAATCTGAAATAATATAAAAGATCATAAGTGCTAGATTACCATCTTTGTGTTTTTAAGTTTACACAGATCAGATTCCTTTTCTTTTCTAATGTATGTGTATACATTGTTGCAGGTAGGTGAGATATTGGGAACTCTGATCAAAACCTTCAAAGCCTCTTTCTTACCTTTCTTTGATGAATTGTCATCATATCTGACACCTATGTGGGTATGTTCTCTGAGGAAGCTAGCAATTGTTTTTAGATTTTCTATTTCCATTTATTTGTTTTATTCAGCTGGCCTTCAGGCCTTCTGTATTTTGTTTGGTGTAATTATGTGTATGTTCTACTATTTTCTCAGTTTTAGCCGGTAAATTATGGACATGATTTCAAAAAAGTAGAGCCTGTGTGATGTTGCTAATTTTTTAACATGGAGCATTTATTGTGCTATATTCAAGCATTTATAATAATATTAATAAATCCTTATGCTACCATACTTCAAGCATTTATAATAATATAATAACATTCCTTCATATTCAAGCATTTATAATATTAATAAATCGTCAGTTTATAAAAAGAAACAAAAGTGTGGATACTACCATAGTATTGTTAAAGAATGAATCATCAATTTTTCTGAGACTGTGAATTGAGTGGTGAATGTGTGAAACATTAGGCATACATAGAGATAATTTTGCAAAGCACATAGCTGCATACATTTATGTTTGGTCTCTAATACAGTTCTATACATTTATAATCTCTGAGCTTTCATTTGTCTTTTATTCTCTATGTTATTACACGTATCATCGAGCTCGTTCATTTTTGTTCATTTTTGCTCTCTTGTACACAATGACTTGCGAGAGCAAGTAATTTTGTCTTGTTTCCTGACTAAGCTCTAAGACTGATTTTAACCACGTTCTGCAATTGGAATGCTCTATTCTATTTTATCAAATAGATTTCATTTGGGCTTGCCTTATAATTAATTATGAGCCTATTTTTCAAGAACTAACATGTATATTGTGGTTTGATTTTTTGTTTAATGTTTTGGATGCAGGGAAGAGACAAGACTCCTGAAGAGAGAAGGATTGCAATCTGTATTTTTGATGATGTTGCAGAGCAGTGTCGTGAAGCTGCTATCAAGTAAGCACCCTTTGGTTTACTATGTTCCTGTTTTAGTGTGCAGTGATAATTGTGAAGACATGTTAATCAATTTGATTCTTTTATTTGTCAATTGAGCAGGTATTATGATGCCTATCTCCCATTCCTGTTGGAAGCTTGTAATGACGAGACTCCTGATGTCAGACAGGTCAGTATTAGGCACTCTCTGTTGGTTAACATTTTGACTACCATTTTTATTGTTGATGATGATGTTGGTATTTCCGCACATATGTGCAGGCTGCTGTGTATGGCCTTGGTGTTTGTGCAGAGTTTGGTGGATCTGTGTTCAAACCTCTGGTTGGAGGTACGGCTTGATACATTAATAAACTTGTAAAAGGCTGTATTGCATTGAGTAACATATTTGGTTTATTGCAGAGGCTCTTTCAAGGTTAAATGCTGTAATCCAGCATCCTAATGCTCTTCATTCAGATAATGTAATGGCATATGACAATGCTGTATCTGCTCTGGGAAAAATTTGCCAATTTCATCGGGACAATATTGATTCTGCCCAGGTTATTAAATGCTCTCCTAGGATATAATCCAACTTTATGGTTTTAGTTCCTGATTATATCTGTAATTATTCATATAATGTTATGTTTGCAGGTAGTTCCCGCATGGCTGAACTGTTTGCCAATAAAAGGTGATTTGATTGAGGCCAAAGTTGTTCATGATCAACTTTGTTCAATGGCTGAGAGGTTGGGGGCGCAACTCTACTTTTTTCAATTTTCTGATCTGCTCATGTACCTTTTTCTGGTGTTCTTATTGTCCCCTGTTTATTTGCAGGTCGGACAGGGAGCTGCTGGGCCCGAACAATCAATACCTTCCAAAAATAGTTTCAGTGTTTGCCGAGGTAATATTTTGTTGCCACTCCAATTTTTATTTGCTTTTCCTAAACTGAGGTTTTTAACCTTTTTTTTTTATTGGTAGGAATAGGATTAGACCAGAAACATGAGTAAACACCTTCATAAGCAAGTCATACATAAATAGAAAGCAAGTCATAAGGAGAATGCGATTGCTTTCTCTAAATCTAAATAGAGCTTGTCAACTCGTGTTATGTTTTATTATAGACTTTCATAATTTTAATTGATGTCATGCATTCATTTCAGTAGTGTTCTTTCATTTGATGAACCATTGCCCTTTGTGAATATACTGACAGTGCCTTGTATACATAGTTAATTGACATTTTTGCTCCATGCATTAATCCCATGAATATCAGAGAGTTTATACAATGATTACTCTTCTGTTCCAGTAAACAAAGGACACGTATGATGAATGCTATTTTTGGGTAATGTGTTGGCTTATATTGGATTTGTTTAATATTGTTTTTCTATTTAATGAAAACCTTTGTGACATAGGTTTTATGTGCTGGTAAAGACCTTGCAACAGAACAAACAGCTGGCCGAATGATTAATTTACTGAGACAGCTCCAGCAAACCTTGCCGCCCTCTACTCTTGCTTCTACGTGGTCATCCTTGCAGCCACAACAACAGCTTGCATTGCAATCTATCCTTTCTTCATAGTTTTCATTGCTTTGCTGCTTTACAGTCCATCATTTCTTCATAGCGTCTAGCTTGGCAGTTGGTGTCTTGCTCTTGGGAACAAACTTTTTCAAGTTTGGTGGTCTGTATTTGTTACCCATTCTTTTTGCCATAAGATGGTTTCCATCATTAATTCTTGCATGGTGTTTTTATAGCAACATGGCTTCAGTTTTGAGAATGCAGAGTCAATTGTGATTGGAAAGGGAACTTTCTGTAGAATGTGTATATTAAGAGTGTTAATAGTGGGATTGAATCCAAAAGAGGATGCTAGGCAATTGTGGCGTGGTAGCTTCTTGTTTTATTCCTCTTATTGTTTTTTCTTACCATATTGCGTGAGAATATAGGGTTGTCTGTGGGGCAATTCTTGCAGTTTTGGCCTATTGTATTGGTTTTATTTCTTATCAGACAGTATGAAGTTGTACCATATGAAATTTTAATGCTATTTATTCATTAATGTTGCAGAAGTTGTTTTTCCAATCCATATGATTTGTGTAGGAAAGTGAAAATATTTTTGTACGGGAGCTTTTGTAAACATATTGTTTGAAGTGAAAAATGTGAGTGGGTAGGGTAGGTCTTTTTCATTCCAAAGCATACTTTTCGAAATTTGATTGGCCGCGTTTTCCTTGTAATATTTGGGACCCATCATTAACTCGAAAAAATCGAACATTTTTCAAAGTGGTCAAGGCTTGTTAATATGACTTATGATAAGAGTTAGAGTAAGGGAAACAAATGAAACTGTTGAACAAGTATTGTTGGTTGAATAAATTGTATTTTGAATTAATAAATTAATAGGTTTTAGTTTGGTTTTATTGAAAGTTGTAATAAGGACCCAATTGAAAATTTAGTTATCAGTTTTGGGAGATCAAGTTGATTTTTGGATGTCATAATTTCAGTTATAATCAATTTTTTCAATTCTTAGGTTAATAGATCATTATTAGCTTTTATTTATTTTTATTAAGTAGTTTTCAATTCCTAGGTTAATGAATCATTATTAGTATTTATTTTCCTTTATTAAATCTTTGTAATTATGATAACAAAATTTTTATATAAGCTGAACCATTATTATCAAAAATAACAACTAAAATTTTATTCAGAACTATTAAAATTTTTCTCTTTTATCTTAATGAGAGTGATTCTCTTAAATTTTTAAGTGATTTAAGAATCCTTGACTATATCAAATGATTTTCACATTCTTTGTGAGTTACATTTCTTCGAAAAAGTGATTCTTTCCTTCCACCTTATCACTAAATTCCTAATTTTTTTATAATATTTTAACCCTAAAAATCCTGGATCACTTTTGTGATTTATATCACTAAATGCATAAAATTATTTTTGGCATTCTTAGATGCATAAATACGTTATGTTAAATATGGACGGCAATAAGTGATTTATTTCAACATATTAGTTATTGAATTGTTATGAAGCATGATGATGAATGAGCATGATTAGATAGTTTTGATATGATTCTCAAATATGTAGGAAGTGTGAAAGCGTGTGTGAAATAACTTGACTAAGTGTAATGATTATTGAGTGATATTGCATTTGTTACGTTGAATTATGTTTGCTTCTGTCCTTTCCTTGATATTAATACCTTTGTCTTCTAAATAACTTAAAGTGAATTAATCAAGTCTGTTGTATTCACCACCATTCTAATTCCTACGACAGTTTGTTTGAGATGCTCCAACCAGAGACAAGTCAACCAACAATGAGAAAACGAATTTATGTCGCATTTATGTGATTACCAATTGGTTGGCAAAAGGCAATATCATATATACAAAACCCCATTATTCAACACTGAAACATGGTTTCATGGATGTTCCACTTCAAATGTCCATCACAGTTCATTAGTGGAACTGTTTTCATCATGAAATATTCTATGCTTGAACAAATTGAACACATAGTTAGGGTAAGGAGAATGCATTTTATGAAGTTAGGTGAGATACGACATACATACATATACATAGACAAAACAAAATTTAGAACATCGTGGTTGGGTCTGAAATAGTGTGATATGTCACATTCTACGACTATGAAATGTAAGTGGTGTAATTTGAAGATGGAAAAAACGTACGGTTATCTTTTTCTTCGTCGTTTCTATAAAATAAACCCACATGCCTCGTGCCTTGTACAAAAATCTATAAGATCAACATTAAAATTAACAACATTTTCTGTAAGTGGTCATCACGAATTAGGGTGTCTCAATTTGGTTGACCAATCCAAGCCACGAGTGAGGACAAGCACTACTTCAGCTACAAGCCAAATACAGACCCCACAATAGTTTAGAAACAAAATACGAGCTTTCCACTACTCCAAATGCAAATGAACCTTAAACTATGGTATTTTTCAAGCTTCACATGTCCCTATATATATGTCTATGTTAAGTCTAAGTTGATTGCAATTGCGTTAATGGGTATGGAACATCAAATCCAAAGGGCTAAGGATGACAGATTCTGTGAGAAACTGAAGATGAAGAATAAGCCCAAGTTTGTTGGAGTGAGACAAAGGGCTTCAGGGAAATGGGCAGCAGAAATCAAAGACACGTCAAAGAAGATTAGAATGTGGCTTGGCACTTATCAAACTGCAGAGGAAGCTGCTCGAGCTTATGATGAAGCTGCTTGTCTCCTTAGAGGTTCAAACACTCGCACCAATTTCTCTACTCATGGGTGTAGTAGCATTGCTACAAATTCTCCTATTTCACTAAAACTAAGAAATCTCCTTGATCGTAAAGCCATGTCAAATCAAGGCCAAGTTCAAAACCACTCTTCTAGTATAAGTCCAACTTTCCAAGGTGCAATTGGTCCAAATGCTAGTACCATCAATAACATCATGGTCATGGAAGAAACCTCAGCTTGTGGTGGTGAAGGTGAGTCTTTGTTTGTGGTTCAGAACCAAGTCTCTGATAATATGTATGCAGTAGATATGAATATGATCAATTGTGCGATGAGTGTCACACCAAATGCATCGCAGCTTGATTTCTCTTGGCCTCTGGCCCAACAAAGGATAAACAAATTACCTTTACCGAAAGATGGTCTGAATGTAGAAAGGCAATTATCAAACCTGGTATATGCCACGAATGAGTTCCATCATGTGGAGGATTCATATGAATATGAGTATGATTATGATGTGAATTATCCTCTCTCTCACTTTTTATGCTTCACATGATATCTATCTTTCAATCTCTTCCTTACACATGATGAGGAAGAGAGTTCTGAAAAGCCATGCTTTGTATAATATATTCTTCAGTATATATATGGTTTACTTGGTTTATATTCTTTAGTTTCTATAATATTACCCTGTTTCCATGTCATTTACCCTGAAAGGATAAATCCAACAGCGAAAATTTCTCTTTTTCTAGTTTCACCTCTGCTTCACCAAGAGTTTATAGGGTCAGTAAGAAGATTTATGGTATCATGGTACACAAGTTACTGTACTCCACCCAGAATGTAACAATGCAGCAAAGTTAACCAATTGGATATTGTTATGCAAGTTTGTGATGACTTTTTGTCATCCACGCAGCCCACACCAGTATAATAAGGAAGACTTCGTATCTTACACTTCTTCTGCTGATATATGTTGATATCATTTTAACTTTTGTATTTTGCTGTTGCTATTATCTTTCTATTTTGTTGTTGAGCCTTGTGTGTGCGCTATGGTTTCTGGCTGTGTGCCGAAAGGGTGAAAAATGAGATACAAATGAAAAGAAAGAGGTTGTTATTGTATAAAGCCACTATTAGAGAGGGTAAGTTATTAAATGAAACCATCTTGAACTTTGTCTAAGAAATATAGAGCTGTGTGTACGAACAAATATTAAGAATTAAAGAGTGGGAACTGATCTTCAGTCTTGATTATTAATGAGGTGCAAGTAGGGAAGTGTTTGAGTGGGGAACAAATAAATGGTGGGTTGGTTTTGGCACCCCATCTCTTCAATGAATGCTAGTGATTGTCAACCTAATGGCTGCCTCTTCAACCTCATTTGTGATTGTATTTTTTGTTATCATTTATGAATGAGAGTTATCATTTAGCCTTTTGCTTTTGCTTTCTGCATTGCTCTTTCTACTAATAGAAATGCTTAAACTATCACTAGTATAGATGGCAAAAAGGTGAATGATTTCATAAATAAAATCTGTTTTTTTGGTGTCCAGAGAGATACTAGTTGAAAATGGTGTTGTGTAGGGGACGAATTTGAGTAGGCAGTGAAAAAAATGAAAGGTTGATTTTTTACAACGGTTCAGGAAAAGAACAAGGAGTGGATGTTGACGTGAAAAGAACAGTTGCAAAAGGCTTAATATAGTTGTATTTAATTTATGAAAATATCCTATATAATTAGTACTATGAATAAGAAGATTGAAATAGAGGGTTGGTTGGGTGGAGTTAAAAGAAATGGGCACTTCCCTCGACCGACGACTTTGGATGGTCCCACAGCTTTAAGAAAATGGAATAATTGATGATCCCACGATAATTATCTTGCAGACCTTCCAGACGCTAATTGTTGGGGCTCTTCACCTTCGCTGCCGACACCCTCCTTTGCCTATTCTTTCCCACCAGACTTTATGAGATTTATTTGAGATGTTCTTCATTTCTTTGGTTTAAATTTTAATTCTAAAAATGATTTTTTTTACAGCAAAATAAAATAAGTGAGTTTGATTTTAGTCTTCACAGAATTGTTTGATTTTTTATTTCTCTGAAATTTGAAATTCATGTTTTTTTTTTATGAAATTAATACATTTTTTATTTTAATCACGATAAAATAACAAAATGTCAAGAGTTTTATTCTCCAATAATCTCTCTGATAAATCTCATATCTGTCATAAGGCCACAAAATCACACAAATAAAAAAATATTAATTCATCTAATTTTATTAATTTTTTTACTAATAATTTACTTTTACCTTTTATTAATCATCATTAGATTAAGAGTAACATACATAACTATGTCTATATAAAGAAAAATAAAAAATAAATTATTGAAATTATAAAATATCTTATATTAAAAAGAAAAATTCACTATGGTTTATACTAGAGAAAAAAGAAAGTATAATACTATATACACTAGTTAAACGTATTTTAGCTTAAAAGATGAAAATCAACCAAAAAAAGTATTTTATTGAAACTCAGTTATTTTTGTAAAATTAAAAACGTATTTAAACTTTAAAATATTTAAATGAAAATAAATTTAGTACACAAATGTGTTCAGAGATGAGTACCATTTTCTATCTATATTTGGTTCTAAATATTATCCCCATCAAATTCACTAACCTCAGATAGCTTATTACAACCAATTCTTTCAACCCTATAGAGCAGAAATAATCAAAGTTAGGTTCGTTTTCTAAAGCACTGTTTGTTTCCATATTAAGATCAAACAAAAAGAAGCTTCCTACATCCCAATTCAAGTGTTTCAAGTTCATTCAGAACACTCTGATTCCCTCAATTCCACAACCGAAACTCGTTCGTTTTCTGGAACATCCGTATTCATACTTACTAGATTTTGGCAATGTAATTTGCCCAGATGACACACTCCCGGTAGTTTTAATTATTTCATTTAACGCGCCTGGACAAGTTTTGGCACTTGCATAAAATTTCAGCCAACCAAACTCGCTGCAATTTAATCACATCGATTTCCAGAATGAAGCGTGTTGCGAACCACATCGGAGGGATGTTTTGCACGGTTCATTCTTAGGTAATAAAAAAGTAAATGTGGTAAAAATAGATAGCATAAACATCAGAAATCAAATTTGACATGGACAATTCTGAATACATGATTGATGTCTCAAACAACAGAATCCTAAACCACCAAATAGAAGCATAATGACGATCGATCACTTCACAGTTTGAATGAACTATATCACACGGGAATAAAAACAAAAAGAACGAACAGTACGGGTGCAGGGCAATGTAACGAAGCATATACCCTTTTACTCGAAACAATTACAGTCATAACAAAACATTTAATTATCAATAATCCTCTCCTTCATCCTCATCTTCTGCTCCTTCAGCTCCAACCTCTTCATAGTCCTTCTCAAGAGCAGCTAGATCCTCGCGAGCCTCAGAGAACTCCCCTTCCTCCATTCCCTCACCAACATACCAGTGAACAAAGGCCCTCTTAGCGTACATCAGATCAAACTTGTGGTCAATGCGAGAGAACACCTCAGCAACAGCAGTGTTGTTGCTAATCATGCATACAGCACGCTGCACCTTAGCAAGGTCACCCCCAGGAACAACAGAAGGAGGCTGGTAGTTGATACCACACTTAAATCCAGTAGGACACCTATCACAACAACAACAAACATCAACTAGATACTCAACCTTACTACGCATTTGGATAAACATTTGCAAAATTCCTTAGGCAAACTTGATTTTGAAGTAAAATAGTGACTGAAGAACAAAAATTGAAGTTCATTAGTAAATCTCATCATCTAAATTCTGATCCAAAGTTAACACTACCTAAAGTTGCTTCATCTTAAAATCAAAATTCGTACCCAGAATCAGCTCATCAATGTTGAACGAAACCAAACCAAACACATTTTCCTAAAATTAATGTAATCGGTAACTCAACATGATTTCAGATCATTTAGTGTGAAACCAAACAGACACTTAGAGTGCGTCTGGTTCGACAACCTAGATGTGGTTAATTTCAAATCATGTATAAAAACGTGACCTGTAAAATCTCAACAGATTATCAAACACGAATCCAGTGAACATTAGTGAGTAAATAAATATGATTAGAATGAGGGAAATTATACCAATCAACAAACTGAACAGTCCTTTTAGTCTTGATGGTGGCAACAGCAGCATTGACATCCTTGGGAACAACATCTCCACGGTACATCAAGCAGCAAGCCATGTACTTTCCGTGTCTGGGATCACACTTAGCCATCATGCTGGCAGGCTCAAACACGGCATTGGTGATCTCAGGGACGGATAACTGCTCATGGTAGGCCTTGGCAGCAGAGATAACCGGGGCATAGGAAGAGAGCATGAAATGGATGCGAGGGTATGGAACAAGATTGGTTTGGAACTCGGTGATGTCGACATTGATGGCGCCATCGAACCTAAGGGAGGTGGTCAAGGAAGAAATGATCTGGGAGATGAGGCGGTTTAAGTTGGTGTAGGTGGGTCTCTCGATGTCAAGGGATCTCCTGCAGATGTCGTAGATGGCTTCATTGTCCAAGAGGACAGCCACATCTGTGTGCTCCAGGAGGGAGTGGGTCGATAGAACGCTGTTGTAGGGTTCAACAACGGCGGTTGAAACCTGGGGGGAAGGGTAAATGGTGAACCCTAGTTTGGACTTTTTGCCATAATCCACGGAGAGACGCTCCAGAAGGAGGGATCCGAGTCCGGAGCCAGTACCCCCGCCAACGGCATTGAAGACGAGGAAGCCCTGGAGGCCAGTGCAGTTGTCAGCGAGCTTGCGGACACGATCAAGGCACAGATCTACGATCTCTTTGCCAACTGGAAAGGGGGAAACCGAAAATTATGTTAAACTAAGTGAGTGACAGTGTGTGAGTGAGTGAGGGAGAGAGGATACCGGTGTAGTGGCCTCTGGCGAAGTTGTTGGCGGCATCTTCCTTGCCGGAGATGAGTTGTTCGGGGTGGAAGAGTTGGCGATAGGAGCCGCATCGGACTTCGTCAATGACGGTGGGTTCGAGATCGACAAAGACGGCGCGGGGGACGTGCTTCCCGGATCCGGTTTCGCTGAAGAAGGTATTGAAGGCGTCGTGTGCAACTCCGAAGGAGGAGTCACTGCGATGGATTGAAGGAAAAAGTGGTTAGAATGCATGAAATGAAGAGAGAGATGGAGAGAGAGATTTGGAGAGAGAGATACCTTGGCATCATGCCGTCGGGCTGAATGCCATGTTCGAGGCAGTAGAGTTCCCAGCAGGAGTTTCCGACCTGGATCCCGGCCTGACCGATGTGAATGCTGATGATTTCTCTCATTCTGGGATTTGGAGGCGAGGGTTTTGGGTTCTTGGGAGGAAGAAGATGAGACGATGAAAGGAGGAAAAAAAAGGAGGTCTGGGATTTGAGATTTGAGATTTGAGAAGCCTCTCTGTGCCCGTGTTTACAAATATAACCCTTAAAAATGGGATTTGATAAACATTTAGAATCCGAGCCTCTTCATTTTCCGTTTGGCGCCAGCCTATCCGACCCCACTCCTCCCATCCATTTCGCATCTCATTTCCCCTGTCCCAACAAATATTTACTCTTTTTTCTATTTTCTTTTTTTATTTTCTTTTCGCTATTACATTTTTGGCGAATTATTCAACGTAATCTTGTGGTCACATTGTCTCTTCCAAAATACACATAATCCTGTAATAAATTTAATACAATTAGTACAATACTTTTAATTTTTATTGTATTTTATTTTTATTTCAATTTAGATGACATAATTATATAAACAATAATTTTAATTATTTTACTATGCTCTAAAAGTTACTACTAAAAGATGTGTGACCAATTTACTTAATCGAAAGTAATAGTGTGTAAAGCCTAATAATGTCAATATAGAAAAAGTTGAACAGAGGAAACAAACAAGTCCAAGTGAGGATAAGGTTTGATAGAATATCTCAACTCAACTCCGATTTATTGTGCTTAACGACCAAACAAAATGTAAATAATTGATATTATTTTCATTATAGTGAACTGGTGAAGTAATTTAAAATATATATTTTATACCTTTGAATTTATATTAATTTACCACTGGGACACACTTATTAAGCATGATGATTGTTAAGTATATTTAATTCAAGACATATATATTATTTATTATAATATACTTATTCAAACTTCGATGATTAAGATTATTAAAATAGTTTATATGGTAAAAATAATAATTGTTTTGACTATTGCAGCTTAAGAATATTTAAAGTTAACATATATAATACAATAAAATTTAGTAAATATATACGATCAAATTTAGTTCGGTGTGATGTTGCCATGTTTTTTTAATATAATTTTGTAGACAGCATAAAGTTAACATATTATTATTATTATTATTCATTTTAATTCAAATTATTAAATATTATAATATATAAGTAAATTATATTATGTATTGGTTTATTTTAACACACAACCATATTAAACTTTATCAATGTTAAGATCAATATATTATTCTTTATCAAAATTTTAAATATATTATAATATATTACTCGTTATTAAACACTTTAATATTAAAATATAAAATTAATTAAAAATACAATTAAATTATAATATATAATACATAAATCTCCTGCCTATTGTAAAATTCAAATAAACGCATCTCTTGTCAAGTTCCCTTACGAATTATTTTAATTATTCAAAATCTCTAAAATATATACAATTATTTGATGTATTATATATTTTTTAAAAATGTGCTAATGGATCAGTTTGTCTCGCTGCACCTTAACTCGTCATATAGATGGAATATAAATAGACTAAAATTACTTACCATCTCACAATTGTTAAAAAGATTTATGGACTAATTTCCTAAATCTAACCTCTTCTATGATCTAATAAAATAACAAAATGATGATTTCTAATTTGATTTTATATCAATAATATACTATTCTAAATCATATTGTGATTATCAAACTTTCAAAATAACCTACATCGAAATTATTTTTCATCTCAACTTAGTATATGCCAATTACCGTTCATTAACCTATCATTAATCACAGTATCTGAATGAACAGTAGTGAGTGTGGATTTGCGATTGAATTAGAATTTCAAGCACCACCATTTCCAAATGGAATTCAAGTTGAATAATATGTTTTTTATATTATATCATTGATACATATTACAAACTAATTTTAATTAAGATTAATTTCCATTTCAAAATTAATTGATTACTTTTAGTATATTTTATTTTTTCAACCACACTTTTTCTTTTATCTATAAGACCCATAGAGACCTTGAAAAAAAATCATTGGAATTCTCATAACAAATCATAGAATAAACGAAGATCATAATATTTCAACTAAACAATTAAGAGAATTGTTATAACTAGATTAAATGGTCGATAATAGTAACACCATGAACTATATGAGACATTTAAGATTTATTCTCAAGATATTAACCAATGGTTTAAGTTAAAGTACATGAAGATGATTAAAAGATAAATCTAAATCATCATGTGAATTATTTAAAAGAACTAGTAAAGAACCAAGTTTTGTTCTTAAAAACAGACTTTCCCTTTTATAATTTATGACATCTTATTAGGTTCTGAATACAGCGAGACTACATTGCTTGAAAAAAAAAACTATATATATATATATATATATAAACAAATGAAAAAAAAACATTATTTTCTATTAATATTGAGTTGACTATAATGCAAAGTACACACAAGTCAAAAGTTATCAATAAACAAAATTGACATGTGTCAAAGAAAAATAAATGATAAAAAAATATTTGTGTGATCATAAAGTGTAGTATAGATTAATAAGAGAAAAACACAAAATTATGTGACAGATTGATTATACTTAACTTCTCGATTATCAAATTAATTATGTTCAAGCTATTGTTAGTTAAATTTTCATTCAAATTTATACGCATAGAGTCACTTATATTTTTACCATTGGCTAAGTTCAGTGCTAAAATTAAAATACAAATGTTAATTAAAACCATTAAAGTAAAAATACATATCTTAAAATAAAAATTTACCTGCAAAACTAATTAATGTATTTATTAATAATTTAAATAATATAATTACATATATTTTTTTTAAATTTTAAATATATTATCAATAGCATTTTTTTATTATTTTTAATAATATTCTTATCTTTTATCTAATTATATTCTTTCAAAAATATGTTTAGAAAATACTATAGGTTATTTTGCATATATTACTTTTATATTATAATTAAAAGCTTGATTGATTGCAATATATTTTTTTTATTACTTATCAAGTAATGATTTTATTCGGGGACAGAAATAACAAAATCGTTAATGTGTTTTATATTTTTAGAATTATATATATATATATATATACACACACACACACATTTTTTAAATAATAGTTGACAACAAAAAACATTTCAAAAGTTTAGTAAAAAATTTACCGTCATAATACATTACAACTTTATTTATCATGAGCTTTTAAAAAACATGTTCATTTATATATATATATATATATATATATATATATATATATATATATATAAATTTTCATTGATTTTTTCTTTATATTTAAAAATCAATTACTTAATCTTTAATTTACAAATATATGAATTTAATCATATTCATTTTACAATAATATAAAATGTTATAAAATATTAAATTTAAAATAAAAGACTAAAATTATATTTAATTATTTTATCAATTTTATTAAACTACAGATTTATTATTAAATAATAAATATAAATATAAAAAAAATTACATTTTTTATAAATTGGATGACTAATTAATCATTTTTTATATTATTAAAACATATTTAATCCTAAAAATATATCAAACCTTTAATATACTTTAAACTTTTATTCTTATTATGCATATATATATATATATATATATATATATATATATATATATATATTACAATCAATCATTTTAAAAACATTTAATTACTTTCTCAATTTTATTATTAATTTGTTTTATTTCATTCAATCCTATTACGAATGATATATTCAATCAAATTCCTAAAAAAAATAACAATACAATCATTAAAATGGTAATTTTAAGATGAAGAACTTGATTGAGTATATATATATATATATATATATATATATATATATATATATATATATATATATATATATATAACTAGATTAAACTTTCTACAATAGAAAGATTAAGTTAAACAAACTCAGATAAATATAAAGACTAAAAGGTAATTAAACCTTAAAAAAAATCTATGTGATATATTTATGTATTTTTTTATCTTAAAAGAAAAATTATTGTTTGTTATATTAAAATAAATTATGAGTAAGCATTATAAAAGGATAGGTTAATTATTAAAAAGAAAGGTATTAAAAATAATAAAAATCACTAATGGTAATATATTATAACTTATATATAATTAAATAATAAACACATTACTTTATCAATTTTTTTCATTAGAGATAATTCAATTATTTTAATTAATCATCGTCTAAATCAACACTAATTCACCAAATAAATAAATGATAATAATTAAGAACACAACTAATAACTTTCAAGGATTAAAACTATAAAAATTTTAAACATATTTAATTTACAATTGTTAGAAAATAAAAGAGTAAGTCTTATAACTCATTATCTATCTTAAGATTTTAGGATTTTAGGTAATAAGTGATGTCAATCCTTATATAAGTTGGCCTCAGAAAATACTTAACAACGATAATTATTATTCTCTAAAATTCTAATAAAGAAAATAATACTCTTTAAAAGAAAAATAAAAATGAATTTAATATTTTTTTACCATCTCACTCTTTTAAGAGAAAAACTTGTAAATAATATTTTATAATTTATTTATTTTTATTTTTTGATTAATTTGATAAAATTGAATTACATATCTCTATTTTTAAATATGATATTAAAATTAACAAAGATGAAATCTACCTCAATTTTATGAATATAATCCTTAAATTATTTAATCATCAGTTTTGTAGATGGTAAGTATAGCCATCTCTTTAATTACCTAAATTTTGTCAAATTTAACTATGTATATTTTAATTTTTAATATTAAAAATAGAAATATAAATAATGTATAATTAACTTTATCTATAAATCCAAAAGAAGAAAAAAGGGATAAAATATTAGAAATTTGTCTTCAATTTAAAATGGTGAGATGGTTTAAGAAAGGGAAGTTGGATTGGTGGAGCAGGGCGGCCATGTGCTGCCACCCACTACCCTCACTGCCACTCACAATTATTAGCAGACAACCAAACAAAATAACAACACACCACACTTTTAATATCTTTTTTTCTCTCTGTATTATCAACAAATTATTTAACTAATTCAAAAAAATATTATATGTTTTAACATATTCAATATCTTATCAAAATATACAGCTTTTTTAAACCAACCAAAATTACAAATTCTAACCTATTTTGTTTTTAAATAAGTAGAAATAATTTTCTTTTTCCTCAAGTGATTTCAATGATTGTATACAAATATATATTTTTTAAAATATTAATAATCCCTACCTGAATTAAATCTAACTCGTAATATCAAACGGGCCCTTAGTTATGTTCTGTTATTTCAAAAATAAAAATTAAACAATTCAATAAAAAAGTTTGTTTTTTTAATGATTGATATAACGCTTTTCGTAATATTATTTTTAGTTATTTTAATACTTTATTAAAACGTTATTGGTATTTTAAAATGAATCATTGAATATTTTATTCATTTGATAGATGAAAAACGTTAAAGAAATTACAATGATTATAAGCATATTATTTGTGTTTATTGTACAATACATGTCCTGTAACAAAATTTTCATTAGTCATTGCCTTAGGAGTATTGATTATTGTTTACTCATAGAAAATTAGAAAATAAAAAAAAATATTATGAATAAAATTCACTAAAAGGGTAAGTTAATTAAAACACACGATAAAAGTTACTTAAAAGATTTTGGGTATCCTTATCATAAAGGCTTAAATTTTGTGATGATAATTTCCTCATTTTTTATTTAATTTATTTGACTCTGGTTTTATATTACAGTTACAAGAATTAAATAATGTAAAGTTTTTGCTGGGTTGGCCATGTTGGTGATGGGAAAATTTGCCATGATATGATGTTTTGTTGCATGCATGAATTGGGTAGTTGAATATTGCTTCAAAAGAGGTCAATTTGTTTTTGTAATGTTTGGGGTCATATACTGTGATGATGGTTCCACAATACCTTAATATTTTAAATTAATTTATATTATATCTTACTATATTTCTCTGTAAATTTTAAAATAAATAACATATTTTTAAATATATAATGTAATATAAAAAATATCTAAAAAGAGATTTTTACTACTACTCATATTTTAATGCACCAAAGGCTCTCTGTGCGTCATATCAATATTATTAATGTCTTAAAGTATAATTCTTAAATAACAAAATGTAAATAATAATAATAATCAAAATGATAATAAATAAAAAGGTTGACATTTTAAAGAACGTAACTTCAAGTAGCGTTTCAATAAAGAACGTAACTTCAAGTAGCGTTTCAAAGAATACTAACTGCATTGTATTTTTTTTTTAATAAATCACTGTAATAAAGTTAACTAAGTTTTTTCAACTAATAAAAAAATTAACTAAAATTACGTGGCAAACATAACTTAAAAGTAAAAAACATGCTGAATCAATGTAACATTTGATAATCAAATTAGACTAATTTTTAATTAGTAACTAAAATATTAGTAATCAAGATAAAAACCAATTTAGATTTTAATTAAAAATTAATTTAGGTTAAATAATTGTTAACTTGATAAAATATAATGATTAAATATTATTTTCTATGTTAATTGATATTTAATAAATTTATTATAATGAATGTCAGCGTCATTAACTTTGTAATTTGATTAATAAGAACCTTTACTCATAGAATAAAAATATACAATTATGATAAAATAAAAAATATATTTAATAAAATTAAAAATAATTATAGTTAGAACATATTTTTAGTTATTATTTTGAAACTGATATCCCTTTATATTTCACTAGCTAAAACTATGTGACTAAAATAAGTCATCGCCAAAGTTATCATCAATAAATCGTTAATTGGTTTGAAATTATTTAAATTTAATTAATAATTTTGAATTTTACATTACGTTATATAATAATTTTTAAATGGTGGAAGGTAATATTTTTAAAACTTGACGTAATCAATATTCTATATATAAAGGTAAATTATTTATGATAAAAATTAAACGTAATTTATATACTCGAAATATTTATTTATCATGAATTATAATTATAGCATAATTTATATATTTAAGTGTATAAGGTTAATTATTTAAAATAAGTATTTATATCTTAAATAATATGTGTTGAATATATATACTAAACCTGTTATAATATTTTAAATCTTTTATCATAAGTCTCTTATAATCTAAATCAAAGTGAAAGATAAATTATACGAGACTTGCGTATGAAATATATATATATATATATATATATATATATATATATATATATATATATATATATATATATATATATTAAATATTAAGTGTAGATTATTTGTTTGTTCTAGTTTATATTTTGTACGTGGTTTACAAGTTGTTAATACGTGAGTTATATTTCTCTTTCTTATGTTTTAGTTTATGTAAAACTAAATTTATATATTTAACTTTTTTATTTTACGAAGAAATAAGAGAACCAAATTTTGTGAGATAATAACGACTATCAGAGCCAGTTTCAACTTCCACTAAAAAGAAGCTGCACACTTCTATCATGGTCAGCACAGATAGTAGTTTCGTGCAACCTGTACGACCATTGAACATTGTTAATGGAGAATTTTCTAAAGTCAAAAGAGTATTTGAATCTTATAGTTCCTGGAATTCCACAACATGCAGATGGGGCAATTGCAACTTGTAATTCCAAAGTTGAATGCGTATTACGACCATTGGACATTGCTAATGGAGAATTTTCTAAAGTAAAAAGAGTATTGGAATCTTATAGTTCCTGGAATTTCACAACATGTAGATGAAGTTATTTTATCAGATAATGAGGAAAAACAAAGGATTTAAAGTTGAAAAACTACTTGTTTCAAGCTATTGATAGATAGAACCGTGCTTGAAACAATCTGATTTTGGATTCATTGAAACAAAAATGTCAAGGCATTGCGAGGTTGAAGCGACATGCTCTATGATGCGAATGAGAGATCTTGCAGATGAAAAATGGTGAATTAATTAATGATTACTCTGTTCAAACTCTCATAATTGCAAACAAGATGAAAATGCAAGGTGAGCAGGTATCTGACCTTACTGTTATTTGAGGAGGAGGTACGATGACTTTGAAGAGGTACGATTATGTAGTATGTTCCATTAGGGAATCTCATGATTTAGATTCCATGACTATAGATAAACTCCAAAGTAGTTTATTAATGCATGAGTAGAGAATGAATGAACACAATTCTCATAGGCACAATTATCATGAAGAATAAGTATTGAAGGTTTCACAGGAGGAGACAAATGTTGATAATGGACAGGGAAGAAGTATTTTTCAAAGAGCATATGCAAGAGGAAGAGGAAGAATAGGTAGACAATTTATGAATAAGACAAGAGCAAATATTGAAGAAGTATTGAAGGTTTAACAGGAGGAGACAAGTGCTGACAATGGACAGGGATGAAAGGTGCAATATGTTGGGATGTGTTTGAGGTGAGGAGGTGCAATATGTTGGGAGGGGAGATGGTACAATATGTTGGGAGGGGAGGAGGTGCAATATATTGGGAGGGGAGGAGATACAATATATTGGGAGGGGAGGTGGTGCCATATGTTGGGAAGTGCCATATGTCGGGAGGTGCAACATCTTGGGAGGTGCAATATCTTTGGAGGTGAGGAGGTGCAATATCTTACGTTGGGAGGGGAGATGGTGCAATAACTTATGTTAGGAGGGGAGATGATGCAATATCTTTGGAGGAGCAACATCTTATGTTGGGAGGGAGTTGAGGAGGTGCAATATGTATGTCGTGAGGTGAGGAGGTGCAATATGTTGGGAAGGGAGGAGATACAATATATTGGGAGGGGAGGAGGTGCCATATGTTGGGAGATGCCATATGTTGGAGGTAAAATATGTTGGAAGGTGCAATATCTTTCGAGGTGAGGAGGTGCAATATCTTATGTTGGGAGGGGAGATGATGCAATATCTTATGTTGGGAGTTGAGGAGGTGCAACATGTATGTCAGGAGGTGAGGAGGTACAATATATATGTTAAGAGGTGAAGAGGTGCAATATGTATGTCAAGAGGTGAGGAGGTGTAATATGTATGTCGGGAGGGGAGGAGGTGCAATATGTTGCGAGGTGAGGAAGTGCAATATCTTATGTTAGGAGGGGAGATGGTGCAATATCTTTAGAGGTGCAATATGTTGAGAGTTGAGGAGGTTCAATATGTTTGGAGTTGAGGAGGTGCAATATCTTATGTTGGAAGGGAGTTGAGGAGGTGCAATATGTTGCGAGTGGAGGAGGTGCAATATCTTATGTGGAGAGATGGTGTAATATCTTATGTTGGGAGGAGGTGCAATACCTTACATTGGGAGGAGAGATGGTGCAGTATCTTATGTTGGGAGGGAGTTGAGGAGGCGCAATATGTTGGGAGTTGAGGAGATTCAATATGTTGGGAGTTGAGGAGGTGCAATATCTTATGTTGGAAGGGAGTTGATGAGGTGCAATATGTTGGGAGTTGAGATGGTGCAATATCTTATGTTAGGAGTGGAGGAGGTGCAATATGTTGGGAGTGGAGAATGTGCAATATTTTGGGAGTGGAGGAGGTACAATATCTTATGTTGGGAGGGAGTGGAGGAGGTGCACTATCTTATGCTGGGAGGGAGGTGTGGATGTTCAATATCTTATGTTGGGAGGGAGTTGAGGAGGTGCAATATCTTATGTTGGGAGGTAAGGAGGTGCAATATTTTGAAAGTGGAGGAGGTACAATATCTTGGGTCGGGAGGATGCGCAATATCTTGGGTTATGAGGAGGTGCAATATAGTGGGAGGTGAGGAGATGCAATATGTTGGGAGGTGAGGATGTACAATATGTTGGGAGTGGATGAGGTGTAACGTCTTAGGTCGGGATGAGGTGCAATACCTTGGGTCGGGATAGGGCACAATATTTTATGTTGGGAGGAGGTGCAATGTCTTATGTTGGGAGGGGAGATGATGCAATATGTTGGGAGGTGAGGAGGTGCAATAACTTATGTTAAGAGGGAGTTGAGGAGGTGCAATATCTTATGTTGGGAGGTGAGGAGGTGCAATAAGTTAGAAGTTGAGATGGTGCCATATCTTATGTTGGGAGTTGAGGAGGTGCAATATGTTGGGAGTGGAGGAGGTGCAATATGTTGGGAGTGAAGGAGGTGCAATATCATGGGTTGAGAGGAGGTGTCATATGTTGGGAGGTAAGGAGGTGCAATATGTTGGGAGGTGAGGAGGTGTAATATGTTGAGAGTTGAGGTGCAATATGTAGGGAGCAACTGGACGTAGGGTCTTTTGATCCGAACCAGTATAAATCAACTGTGTAATCTTCTTTCCCTTATCTATTTACTTTACAAAGCATTTTAATTGGTGAAATTTGGGAAAAATTTTAAAACCCTAATTTTTGTTTAAGAAACCAATTCACCCCCTCTTGGTTTTGTTCCGTAAATGCAAACATTCCGCTGCGCGATTCTAATAAGTGGTATCAGAGCTTGCTTTGATAGTCATTCAAATTTCAAAAATGGCCGGACAAAACCAAACATTTGCCAATGGTGCTTCTATCAATAGACCCCCACTTTTTGCTGGGCAAAATTATCCTTTTTGGAAAGTTAGAATACAAATATTTTTGGAGTATGTTGATAGGGATGTATAGGATACAATTTTAAACGGTCATTTTATTCCTAAAATTACTGAAAATGGAGAAGAGGTACCAAAACCATTTTCTAGATGGTCGGCTAAAGAAAATAGGAAAGCCTAATATGATGTTAGGGCTAGAAATATAATTTCATCTACTTTAACCCTTGATGAGTTTTACAGGATATCTGTTTGTAAGAGTGCTCAAGAAATGTGGGAAATGTTAAGAGTAACCCACGAAGGTACCGATGATGTTAAAAGAGCACGGAAGAATTCTTTGATTCAAGAATATGAGATGTTCCGGATGCAACAAGGAGAAACAATTTTTGACGTTCAAAAGCGTTTCACACATATTGTGAATCATCTCACTGAGTTAGGTAAGATTTTTGATATTGATGAGTTAAATGTAAAAATTCTTAAATCTTTGGATAGGAAATGACAACCAAAGGTGACGACCATCACGGAGTCACAAAATCTTGCTACCATGTGTATGCCGGCTCTCTTTGGAAAGTTAAGAGAACATGAACTTGAACTTGGAAGGCTAAACGATGAAGAAGGCCAACACAAAAGAGAAACCTTGTCTTCAAAACTGAAGTTTCTAAGAGCAAGAACAAGAAGGAGGAAGAAGACTCCGAAAATGAAGAAGATGAAAACTTGAGTCTTATGATCAAGAAATTTACAAAGTTCATGAAAACCAAAGGGAAGCAACCTTTCAAAGGTAAGAGAAAGGTAAAAGAAAGTACTTCCTTAAATTTTAAATGTTACGGTTGTGGTGAAACAGGACATGTAAAATCCGATTGTCCAAACAAGAAAAATGAAGATCATAAAGGCAAGAAATTATTCAAAAAGAAAGCTTATATTGCTTGGGATGATAGTGATTCAAGTTCGGAGTCAGTGACTAGGAGGTTGAAGCAAACATTTGTTTGATGACAAATGACAATATTTCTTCTGAATGTGAGGTAAGTGATTCTGACTGTTCTTCAAGTGATGATGAAAATGATTATGATGCTTTACAAAATGCATATCAAGAATTTTTTACTGCTTTTAAGGATTTGAAAAATGAATATAAATCTGTGAAAAAGTGTTTGAATAAATTAGAAAAAGAAGTGGAATCCTTGAAAATGAAAATTGCATGTTTAGAGGAAAAAGATAATAAAGAAATAGTAGGTGCATCATGTAAAGAGTATGAATATGATATTGACATACTTAGCCACTTACTTGATAAAGCTAAGAAAGAATTAAGTGATAGTTATAAGGATAAGGTTATTATACAAAATAGAGAAAATTGTCATGTTCCATTGAAAAAGCCTAAAAATAAAAAAGCGAAGAGTATGGGTTGAAAAATGATCTAAATCTTCACAAAATAAAAATATATCATTTTGAAAGATTACATCTAATGCATGCTTGTATTGTATGAAACTTGGTCATACTTCAAATAGGTGTAGAATTAAGCATTTTGGTGTTCCTAAGGGAAAATATGTTTGAGTTCCTATAATTAAATGATTTAATTGTCTCTAACCCCAAGGACCGAAAAGTTATGGGAACCTAAGATTATTATGTTCTTGTATTGTAGGAAACTTCCAAATCTAAGAAGTCTATGTGGTATCTTGACAATGGATGTTCAAGACATATGACCGGAGACAAAACGAAATTTGTGAGTTTCAAAGCAAAAGAACAAGGATATGAAACCTATGGGGACAACAACAAAGGAAGAATCCTTGGAACCGGAAACATTGGTGGTACAAAAACTTTGGAGATAAAGGATGTGCTTCTTGTTGATGGGCTAAAGCATAATCTCCTAAGTATAAGTCAACTTTGTGATAAAGGATTCTAAGAAATGGGCATGTGTTGCTTTATCCACCACTGAAGCTGAATATATTGCAACTGGTAATTGTTGTGCTCAAATTTTGTGGATGAAACAACAACTAGAAGATTATAATATATATCTAAATGACATTCCTTTGATGTGTGATAATACGAGTGCAATCAATCTTACTAAGAATCCAGTAATGCACTCTAGGACCAAACATATAGAAATTAGACATCATTTCTTGAGAGATCATATAAGTAAAGGAAATTGTAAAATTGAGTATGTTGATACAAAGCATCAATTAGCAGATATTTTTACTAAGCCTCTTCCCAAGGATAGATTCTATGATCTTAGAAGAGACTTAGGGATATTAGAAATAACTTAAATTATGCTTAATTAAACAGTTTTTGGATGGTTGTAATGTTATAATTCATTATGTAGGATGTTAATAGATTATCATGTGTCTAAACCTCAAAATTTTGATGAACTCTCTGGAATAATCGATTATTTGAAGTTATAATCGATTGTTTGCACCCAAAACATGACATTTCTCACTGGATTAATCGATTAACTCACCAGATAATCGATTAAACACAATTTTAATCGATTAATTGCTTGAATTAATCGATTAAATGGGTCTGTTACTGGTTTAATCGATTAATTCAAGCTTTAATCGATTAAACCTGGCTAGTATCGTTTTATAGCCGTTGCCAATGGCTCTCTTGGCCTTTATTCACTCCCATATGACCGTTGGAGATGCTTGGTTATAAATAGGGACCTCCATTTCACTTCTACTCACTTCTAACTCTTGAATTCAAGCTTTCTTGCCTCATTCTATCATTCTTGCCTTCTTCTAACATCACTTGTCTTCCTAATCTTTCTTGTTACTCCTCTAATTCTACAATGGCCTCATCTTCTCGTGCTAAAATTCCCACCAGAAGAAGATTTGCACCTTCATCTCATCCCCATCCAAATTCTGTAGAAGGATGGATCTCTGATGCTGAAGGCAGACAGGAATTTCTGACTTATTGGAAGGAACGAGGTATTATCTCTCCCAAATTCCTTATTGGTGATCAATTAATCAATAGGGGAATCAATTTTCCTAATCTCCTTGAAATTCAAGGAGTTCTCCCTTTTATCCAAATGCAAGGTATGTATTATCCTGACTTACTTAGGGTATTTTACTCTCGCTTTAAATTCAGAGATCAAGTAGCTACCTCTCGTGTTAATGGAGTATCCATTATTCTTGATGACGATATTTGGGAAAACGTTGCACACTTTCCTATAAGAGAATATGTTATTAACGTTTTTAGTGAGTTAGATGATTTTGACAGGATCATGGCTTACCGTTCCTTTCTTCGTAACCCTTCTATGGAGATTGGGCGTCTCCTTCTAGCTGGACCATTGAAGAAGGAGGAACGCATGATTTTTCATTTACTTGTCTGGATCCTATGTCCCTGGGCTACGAATCATGCTCAATGTTCTTCAATCGATCTTCGTATTATTCATGCAATAATGAATAATGATTCTTTCGATTGGGGCTGCCTCGTCACCATGACTATGTTGAAAGTCAAACGTCATCCCACCTTCAAAATTCCCTATGCCCTCCTTATTTCTCGCATTCTTGAATACAAAGGAGTGAATGTCGAAGGTGAACAAACAGTACGAACGACTAACCTAAATCGAATGTTGGACAGCACATTAACCTAACTCCAAATGGTGCGCGTCAATAATATTTATGTTCACAAGGATGACGTTCCAAACGAAGATGAAGATGATGAAGATATGCCCCCTGCTGCTGAGTTTCCCTCTGATCAGATCCAAAGTGCTGGAACTTCCTCTGCTCATCCTGAAACCCGTCAATCTATGGAAGACATGTTATCTGATATGAACCAGAGGATGCAGGCATTCTTCACTCTCTCTGGAGTACGACATGAAGAAATCATTCGTCGTATCTCTGATGTAGATGATAAAGTGTGTCACTTAGAAAATAAATTTGATGCACACTTTCATAGTGATAGTGAAGGATTTTAAAGCTTTTTATTTCTTCTTATGTTGTAATGAATTTTCACTTATGAAATAAAGTTTGGTATTCTTTTATTGCTTTGATTGAGGGGGAGTTATCTCCAAGTTATGCATATGTTGAGGGGAAGCTCTTAATTTTTTTATTATAATCAAAATAGGGGGAGAAATATTTAAAGCCTCTTATGATTGAATTTAAACATTATCTGGTATGTTTAATGTGTTTGTTAGTGTGACAGATAAAACAGGTTATTACAAGGCTTTAAAAGAAATTTTGATCATCATCAAAAAGGGGGAGATTGTTGAACATACAAGGACTTGATGTTGAACTAACATGGACATGAAGCTTGTTAATTTTGATGATGATTCAAGAACAAAGAACTTAGAGAGTTGAAGACTTGTATTGTTGTGTAATAACTCTATTTTGATGAGTTTGAGTCTGTAATATTAGAGTCTAAGATAGCCGGTACATAATCTACTCTTTAAAAGCTTCAAAAACTCATATTTATCAAAAAGGCTCGGGTTTAATCGATTAAATCACCAGATAATCGATTATTACAGTGAGAAAAACCATTTTCTGTATCTGTTCACTGTAATAATCGATTAACACACCTGTTAATCGATTAACAGGGCAAATAATCGATTAAACCAGTGCGTTTTGGGGTTCTGTTGATTTTGACTCTGTAATAATCGATTAACACTTGATTTAATCGATTATTTCAGTCAGATTTGGATTTTAAACTTCAAATTAAACCTATTTTCGAAAA